CGCAGCCATGCCACAAGCATGTGCTGAATATTTAATTTTTGACAGATGACATAAAACCCTGCCCACAGTAACTCTTCAACCTCAAATGGCTCGGTGTCCCCTACCTTTCTCTCCCCCTTTCCTTGTTTCCAGGTTAGCAGCCAAACAGGGCGGGAAGGGTTTAGGGGATCTCCTTTCCCTAGCCTGAACCCTACACCCACCACCTGTCACCCGCAGCAGCAGCCCAGCCGCTCTCTCCGGCTGGCCACACTTTGGGGAGAAAGTCCCCGAAAGGGAGAGTCTGCGGACAAGGGGGGTGGGACTTCCGGGGCGGTGGGCGTTCCTTCGGAGCGCCCGGCGAGAGGAAACAAGCCGGTGTGGGAGCGGAAGCGGGCCGCGCGCGGCGGAGGGTGAGGTTTCCCCGGAGCGGAAGAGGGTCTTAAGAAAGCGGAAGGGGAAGTCAGCACCAGGGGTGGGGGGGAGGGCTGTAGGGATGTCTGCGTGAGAGAGCGGCGGTCGGGGTGCGCCCCGTCCGTCCCGGGAGAACCCCCGGAACCCGGTGTGGCGTGATGGGGGAGGAGCGCTTTTGCCGGTGAACCCCGAGCGCGGCCAAGGCTCCGCGCAGGCGCACTGCCCTCTGCCGGCTCTTGCAGGCAGTGCAGGCGTCCGCGCCCGTGGGTCTCGTGGGGTGCTGCAAGGTCCCTGGGCCGGTGCCTGACATGCTGCAGGGGAGCGTGGGAAAACCGCGACGTTAGCGATTTCAGAGGACCGGGGAGAGGAGTTCGGCTCTCTGCGTGGATTTCTGAGTGCTTTGGAGACCCCGTGAGAACTTAGGTGATGTTCCGTTGGATCTCTGTCATGCCTGCTTAGGAACTTGATTTGTCTTGCTTGCGTTAAGCATTTCCTCCGTATTTGTTTCGTGAAGCCAGCCTTTTAACAACAAAAGAAAAGCCACCCAACTTTGGCGGGTGTAACTACAGGCATCAACCCCCTCCCCACGTTTGTCCAAAGTCCCGAGGAGTTTGGAAAGACTTTCTGAAGGACGTCAAAGTCAGGCTTCTTATTTTCCCAACTTTCACGTCCGATTCTATAACGTGTGACCGTCTCTTGCTCTGGGTGCTACAGGTTTAGGGATACGAGCAAGACTAATGGAAGACAGTGAGGAGAAATAGCATTCTTCCTTGGGGGCAGGGACAGGTAGAATTGTGAAATCTCAGGAGTGGAGGAAGAAGGAACTTGGTAACAAACGGGTTTGTTTTGTTTTTGGACACCTTATTGGACTATGACTAGACAGCTGATTAGCACATGATTAGCTGGTGCGCACAGAGCAATGACCATCATTGCAGAAAGGCAAACCTGCTTGTGGAGAGACGAAGTTGCAGCAGGGTGAGTTAGAATAACGAACCGGATAGATGGTGAGTTAGCTCTGTGGTCAGGTCCTTAAGCCTACGAATTTGTTTTAAGAAAGTTATTGGAAATTACTGTTTGCCAGGAACTATTCTCAGCACGCCAGATGCCCTCTTGGCAACTAAGTTTAGTAGCACAGTTTGTCAAAAGAAGTAGTTATGGTAGTGTTTGATGCGACCACAGATGTTGGTGGGGGAGATGGGATTTTATGCAGACTGGGGAGTTAGAGAGGATGACTTGGAATTACTGCCTGAAATGAAAAAGACTAACATCACACGTGCTGAAATTTGAGACGACAGAAAACGAGATTTGAGGACATGAAAGTTACTTTCTTGTGTTGTGTGTGTTTAGGGAGAGATATGGGTGGCATGTAGTGGAACCTGAGAGAATTAAGGAGTATAAAATTGAAAACCAGAGAAACAGGTTATGTATTTCAGTCTAAAATGCCTTCTGATTTTTCATTGTTCATTTACTTCCTTACTATGAAATTATGTTAATTTTCTAGCACAATTCAATGTTTCCAGCATGGTGTTAAATAGAAAAGGACTTTCAGTGGAGGAACTAGTATATAAGAATTAGAGAGGAGAACCTTTGGTCCCAGATGGCCAGAGGGGTATTCTTTTCAGCTTTCCAGTGGTTTGATGGTTAGCTTTCTCAGCTGGAACAATCTGTTCCCTGGTAGGACAGCAAGGTACCCCACATGACACAGTTTGGATAGTTCTTTTGCACTGAAGAAAGTTTTATAAAATTGTAACTGCCCCAGAACCTTTTCATTGCCTTGTGTGCCCAGGAGTAAAGCAAATAGAGGTTGTTTATATGTGTCTAGTCCGTGGCAGCCCCTGAATTTCAAGTTCTTTACTTGTATTTTCAGATACTACACTAATTCACTAATGTCTGACATCTTATCGTCTTAGCACTACAGCCATTGTGCGTCCTTAAAAATGATTTATTTTTAATAATGTGTATGGGGGAGTGGCCAGGTTATGTGCACATGAGTGGGAGGTGAGAAGAGGACTGTGTCCTGGAGCAGGAGTTACCAGTTGGGAACCAAACTCAGGTTCTCTGGAAGAAGGAAGGGTAAACAATTTTAACCATTGAGCCATCTCTCCAGCCCAGACCATTGTGTATTTTAGCTTGTGAATTTAGAATTGGGGTGAAAGTATGCACAACATACTATTATCAAATTGTTAGAATTGAAATTCCAAAGTTTGGGTCAGTGAGTCTAGCGGGCTTAAGCTGTACTTTGAATTACTCGGGTACAGACAAGGAATCTCAAAGGAATACAGAAAACAAGAGTCAGTATTGGGAAAGGCACAGAATAAAGGAAGAAGAGAAAAATATGGAATTAGTAGAATGGGTACATGTCTTAATAGAAGCCTTTTCTTGGGAAAATGTCCATTTACAAATTGAGGTTTTCTAACAAAGCAATGCAATGCATTACGTAACTATTTTAAGTGTTCAGTGATTTGAAGGTAAAGAGGCATGATCTGATAGCAATAATACTAATCATGCTAGACTTGCCAGATGTTGGAGAATGAGACAATATATTTAAAGTAGGCAGACCCCTTACCAAACAGACAAACAAAAAATTCTGATTCTACTAACCTATAATAACAATTAAAATGCCAATGGTTTTTAATCCTCTACTCTATGCTTTATATATTAATTTCATGTTCTTTTCCTAAACAAAGCATTATAAAAATGCAGACAAAATAGTATTCTTTAAATAGCCATCTAAATCCTAATCAGGCTTTCGTAGCATTTTCATTTGGAGTTATGACTAGTGTGGGGAAGATCAGAACTTTTGCTCCAAATTAGTTTCTTAATTATCTCTTCACACTGGATCATACTCAGGAGCAAACCAAAACTTCACAGAGCACACACAGCCCATTTAAAAATGATAAACTCATTAGATTTCCTTCTGACTGTGTAGGCTACTCAACTTCTGAATTGAGTTTGTATATGATCTTGAGAGCTTATCTTTTGTTTTTCCATAGCAGAAGCAGATCCAGCAGAACCGTGACAACCTGCTCTGTGTGGCCTTCTTACTGTGAGAGAGTAAAGGTAGCTCCAGGTACCTTCCCAAAATATGAAGGATATTGTGGGGAAGAAGACTGGCCAGTGGAGAGGAAATGAGAGAAAATCCAAGTCAAAATAGCAGTACCAATAGAGGCAGGCACACTTGATTGTCTCCTACAGAGAGCTCAAAGTCAGTCTTTCTGTGGAAATGGAAATGAGTAGGATCACATAGGTCTTGCCTGTGTTCCCTCAATTAAGTTTGCTAATCATTTTTTGCAGTTTACTGGTAAATCACCTCTAAATCTCAAAGAGAATATTAGTCCTAACCCATAACATCCGTTTGCCTTGTGAGAGGAAATGAAAATTACTGATATGTGTAACATGTTAATATGCGATAATAATAATCACATTCAGGGAAAACTTAGGAATTCTGTTTTTGAAGTACCAGGTCAAAAAAAAAAAAAAAGAAAGAAAGAAAGAAAGAAAAAGAAAAAATTATTTAAGGGAGGAAATAATATAGCATGTTACGTTTGTGAGACTGGTTATTTGGGTCCATGTATGTATGTATGTATGTATGTATGTGTTGTGTGAGGGGTGGTCATGAGAGAAGAGATAAAAGTTTTAAGTAAAGATCAAATCACAGGCCGGGCGGTGGTGGCGCACGCCTTTAATCCCAGCACTTGGGAGGCAGAGGCAGGTGGATCTCTGTGAGTTCGAGGCTGGACTACCAAGTGAGTCCCAGAAAAGGCACAAAGCTACACAGAGAAACCCTGTCTCGAAAAACCAAAAAAAAAAAAAAAAGATCAAATCACAGAAAGCTTTGGATACAATTCTTTTGTTAGTAAAGTGGCATTAAAAAAAAATCTCAATTTCAGAATATCCCAATTGAATTATAGGGACATCCAGTAAATGAGTCCTGAATCAGAGCTAGGAATGTGAGATTTGTTACCTTACAGACTTTAGGAAAGCTGTGGGCAGTAGAAAGAAAGATCTGTAACAGTCAATAAAAAAATGCACACACAGGAAGTGCTGCAATACACTGTTCCTGGGGGAGATATAAAGCAAGTGTCTGTTCCGTCCAAACTGAGAACCAATGACAGACCAACATCACAGTCCACACAATTCCACCTTGGTGAACTAGTGCCTTTATTCTTTTACTTCTAGGAAGAATGACTCAAAGGCAGGTACATCACTGAAAGCCCACCCCAGAGTGGATAAACCCTTAAGAAGCTGGAACCTGCTGTGGATATCTGTATGCTGTGAATGTGTTGCTCTGATTGGTTAATAAATAAAGTGCTGACTGGCCAGTAGCCAGGTAGGAAGTATAGGTAGGACAAAGAGAGAGGAGAATTCTGGGAAATGGAAGGCTGAGTCAGGAGACGCTAGCCGCAGTCACCATGAGAAGTAAGATGTAAAATACCAGTAAGCCACAAGCCACATGGCAACTTATGGATTAAAAGAAATGGGTTAATTTAAGATATAAGAACTAGATAGCAAGAAGCCTGAGCCATTAGGCCAAACAGTTTAAATAATATAAGTGTCTGTGTGTTTATTTGGGTCTGAGTGGCTGCGGGCCCAGGCAGGACTGGAGATAACTTCTACTACAGGAACCTTGAAGGAAAATGAGTTGTAGGCTACCCAGGTCTACTTAACCAGATTGTGTCTTAATCTTTTTCTTTTTCTTTCTTTCTTTCTTTCTTTCTTTCTTTCTTTCTTTCTTTCTTTCTTTCTTTCTTTCTTTCTTCCTTTCTTTCTTTCTTTCTTCTTACTTTTTTATTTTATTTTATTTTTTAATTTTTTATGGAGCTTACCTTCATTGGAGAGGTTTTCACAATTCAAGAGAAAGGCTTATTATTATATCCAGACATAACAGTAGAAAAATAAAAATTAGTCTCTTTATTGGGGCAACTGCATACTTTTTTCTTTTCTAGAAATGGCAAAAAGTCTTTTGACTACATCTCTGTCTGCAAGGACGAAACTGTTACAAACGGGTGTGTCACTTTATAATACATCTCATGGCTTCCATGAGGAGGAAGTGAAAAAGATACTGGAGCAGTTTCCTGGTGGATCCATTGACCTTCAGAAGAAACAGAATGGCATTGGCATTCTCACTCTGAACAACCCCAATAAAATGAATGCCTTTTCAGGTATGAGAGGTCTGCCTTCTTTTGCTAAAGAATGACATTAAGTCATAGCCTGCCATCATAGTTTTTCTTGCCTTGTCCTGGTGGAAGAATTCTTGAGAGTCTTGGTATTCCTTATAGAATATATATACACAGAAACAATTTTCTATAAAGTGAACCAGAAATATTTTTGTGATTGTGCATATGTTGATTTTTTAAAATCACGAGTATAAATCTTGATAAAAATGAGATTCATGTGTAGTGTTAAATATTCTAAGCGGTCACTATTTAAAAAGCAAAATCAAATAGAGCTGCTTTCCCATTCCTGATGCCATGCCTTCCTCATCATGGAATGCACCCTTGTTCTGATGTCATACCTTCCTTGCCATGAGGACATGTACTCTTTTAAAGTGTGAGCTAGAATAAAGCCTTTCT